AGGAGATTCCTTTTAAGTAGTACAAAATTATATTAACTAAAGACTCTCTAGGATTAAAAAAAATAAAACCTTAGAGAACAAAAAGAAATCTTGCATTAAAGTTGCATCAATCCCCAGCTACATTTATTGCTTTCCAAGAACTTAAACTGAAAACAACTCTAGAAAATTGCAGTTGCCTTTTTATGCTCTAATATTAAAATATCAATGCATGTCACATTAAGTGACCCATTAGTACTCCAAAACAAAAAATTTGAGAATTTCATACCCATATTGGCTAGCTACTTTTTTAATGCATGATGTCCAGTCTGCATAATCCTCATTTTTCAACTATTTACCATCCGAAATCCGTGAAGATGCAATATAAAGTACTAATAACTAGACTTTACACATTCAGTTTGCAAAATATCTACTGATTATACAACATTTCATATACAAGTGCAAAGAAACTAGGCTTCCAGTGGGGTTGAGAAGATTATCGACCAGAAACAGAAACCATAACAACATTAAAGCATTACCGATGAATAACTTGAAAGCAGCAGGCAAAGATCTTTTCTCCTTAGCCCAAAAGACACCAGATTTCTTTGGATGATACAGTCCTGGATCTATGATTATGGGCCTTGCTCTTTCATTCCTGAGAAGTACAGGGGAGTATTATATATAGACAAGCTATAACCAGCAGATACAGATGTTTTTACATTTCAAAACACATTAGACCCTTACTCTTTCCAACCAATACTGCTTGTGTGCTCCAGGAAATTCAGATCCTTCGGCAAGTATGAAAATATGTTGAGGATATCTGAAGCAAGAACCAAAAGATAGGATCAGCATAACTGATAAATCCCCACAAATCTTTGAAATATGCGTAGCAGAGAAAATGCCAAGTTAAATACTTATATAAATCATTTGGAAAGGCCAATAATGCAGACAATCTGCTAATTCACACTGAGGCAGAAGGTTCCTTCAAAATGATATGAACAAGGTGCAGTGAAATAAAACAAAAGAAAAACAAAATTGAATAGCCCCTCATTGTCAAAACCAATGATCTTAATCCAGTTACTGACCAGGTTTACACCTGCCGGACCCATAGAAAGAAGAGCAAGTGATGCAGGACAAGCGGCAATTAAACTAACTCGTCTCATGGATAGTCTAGAAATAGAGAAATTTTAGGTGAGAGACTGAAGAATAAAGATTGGCTGAAGGAAACTAAAGATCAAGGTGAAAAAAATATAATGAAAAATAGACTAAGCAAGATATGTTAATAAAACAATAACCAAAAGAACAAAGAGAGTGATAAAAGGACATAAAATCCTAACAAATAAATTCTTAATTCAATATTGTCTATTCTTCTTTTTCTTACCTACCTACTAGCCTTTATATAGAAACCTAAATACAACTAATAGGGAAATTATAAAAGAAATCTAAAAAATTCTAATTTCCATAATAGTTTAGATCTATATAAATACGAAATTAATGTATACAATGACTAAATAAACATAAATAACGGAACTTTTGGGAAAAAAAAACCAAATAGCAATAATCATTACAAAAAGATTCTTTAATTGAAAATTTGTCCCGAAAATAACTTCTTGTTCTGCAGAATTGTACCCAGTTGGAGAATATTCAGGCTCAAGTTTCGAAGTGATGAAACATCAAGATACTGTCAAGAGCTAAGACATTAGCTTCAACGACTTGGAGTTATAGATTTAGAGAAGAGAAAGAGATAGAGAGTTGAGAGAAATTTTGACTGATTTATCAATACATTCTAACAACATCAACCTTCTTGGGACAAAATAACAGCTCCAACTAACTTTGGCTTCCACTTGACAACATTTAAATACAATTGATCGCACCTCCTACTTCTTTATAGGGCTTTACACCTTTGGCAAACCTTCAGAGGATTATCTGTGCTAACAATACCCCTCCTTCCCCCCTCTCCCTGAACATTAACCTCGTCCTCAAGGTTGAACTCAAGAAATTGCTGCATCAAAAAGTCTGTCTTCCCACGTACAATCATCAATACCACTGGACCAGGATTTGCTCAACTTCTTTTTCATTCCAGAGAATTTTTTTGACTTGTAGAATCTTGTTCAGCAACACGAGCGCAGCTCCCTCAGAGTCTAACTGCGGCAGTCCTTGAAAATACAATTTTTTGCCTAAACATACTTCTTTAGTTGGGAAACATGAAAAACAGGTGAATTCAGGAAGTAACCGACAAACTCAGCCGGTATGCAACCTCTCCCACCTTGCCTACAAGCCTGAAATTTCAACAGAAATAATTCATGATGTTGAATTGCCATTCACTACAGCGCATGTCCGCATATTGCTTAGATATGTGTTGAGTCTTGAGCAATTGTTGCCGAATGTCTCGACTAATCTGCAGCCTTTCAAGTAAGAAATTCTGCACTACTTGTGAAGGAGTCTATGTAGTATCCAAATATTCAGATGGACTGTATCCATACAAGGCCTGAAAAGAAATCATCTTCAAGCTAGAGTGCTAAGTTCATCTCTAACACAGTATCTTAGACATTATTCTATAAAAAATGAAAAAACGCTATAAGTATGGAAATATAAGGATTTGAAAAGAACCAAACTTGATAAATGGTGGATTTACCCAAGGACAAAAAACCAGTGGGATGCAAATGGGTGTTTACAATCAAATATAAAGCAAATAAGATAATCAAGAGATACAAAATAAGATTGGTAACACAAGTATATACAAGAAGAAAGATGTCAGGAACTGAGCTAAAGTCGATCTAAGAGTCTAACCCTCATCCAAAAATTCAGTTAAATCTCGAAAAACTTACACAGTCTGATAATGATATACCTATAGCACTCTACAAAGGTACAAGAGAATACACTAAACATCTTTTGTATCATATCTCACAGTTTGTCTAATTTGATAAATGTTCATCAACCAATAAAAATTTTCTCACTAAAAAACTATCAATGATGGGATTGAAAACTTGTCCTTCATAGTGATTGAATTGAGTTCACGGTAGTCTACACAAAACCTCCATCTAGTACCTTTCTTCTTACCAAAAGTATTGGGGATACAAAAGATTATTGTTCGATCGAATGACCGAATCTTGTAACATTCTGGTCATCTGCTGCTCTATCTCATTTTTCTAGGGATAGGCATATTGACAGGATCTAACATTAACCAGTTGACTGTCTCCCTTTAATGGAATGGCATGACCAAAGGTCCAATTGGGCAGAAACCGTTTTGATTCCTAGTATACATCCTATAACTTTTCCAAGATAACCTTTGGTTGTGGGAGCTAGCCCCTATTTTCTCATATTCTTCTCGATTACTGTAACAATCCCAGAATTCTAAAAGAAATAAATCATAAATTAAGGGTGAAAGCGAAAAAATTAGTTAAGCTTTACATTTCTTATACAATAATTTAAAGTACCAAATAGTGCTACAGGAATTATTCTTTGAAAGAAATACAAAAAAATTAAAGCGATAAACGGAAAATAAATAAAACTGGCATCCTACTCGCAACCCTCTTGTGGGTCGGTCTCCGAATCCTGATTTTCTTGATATGAAATTGTTAATAAAGGAATGAATTACACTAAACCAGTAAAAATCTCACGCTATTCACCGACACAGAAATAAAGGTTGGTAGAAAAATCAAAACAACTAATGAAACTCTTAATTAAGCAAATTCATTTATCATAAGTAAAATCGTTTACCGTCTTCTTACCGTAACGAGATTTACAAATTATAGAGACAATAACATAACACATCTCATGATTTCATATGTAATTAGTTGGAACAACAATTTTCTCTTTTATCAGCCTGCTGGTATCCATGGGGATTCATAAGGATGTTCCCACAATGAATGAACCATTTCCTTTAACATTTCTAATTAACGGGTCGTCCCCATACCCCGTCCGGTATGAGGGTAAAACGAGCCGTCTCCATACCCCGTCCGATATGAACGCTAAATTACCAAGTCTCGATACCTCATCCAGTATGAGGCAACATTCACGGTAGGGTTCCTTATATACCCGATCCATCCATCATCTCCCAAAATATCCAATAAGGCTGTCGTTTCATCCATTCACTTAATCACATAATGTCCGTTTACCTTTAATCTCTAGTTTCTCAATTCAACCGTAATCACATAAAACCAACAATACATGTATTCAAAACTATAAAATCGATCAATCAGATACTATAATGTATTCAAACTGTAAAATCAATCAACAAAATCAACAGTAAATAATTTTCGATTTTGACTCCATTAATGACATGTAATTAATTATGGATATTTTTTTAAATTGTACAAAATACTACATTATTTATAATTAAAAATCAATTTCATAACAGAGAATAGGGTGAGTGATTTTTAATCAAATTGATGTTCAAAAAACTAAACTTGTTGACTGCGCCTACTGGCGGTCCTCGGGTTCTCTAAATTTTTCTTCGGGAATTAAAACGCGCTATAAATACCTACAAATATCCTCAAAACCCAAAATCGATGTCAAGACCTCTTTTTGGCCAATTCCAGAATTTCAGCACAGCGGCTCCACCGGTGACGGCGGCGGTTTGCCTCAGATCGGCTGTTTTCGACTGGTTTTGCATCATTCCTGTGAGAAAACATGTTAAGCGATCTCGGTTGGTTAAAAAAAATAAAAAACTGAAACTCACTGGCGGTTGGGTTCTCCGGTGCGACGGCTCCGCCGGCTCACCTTTGCAGTTGGGTGTTTTTACTTCAGTCAACCTGTAGAGAAAAAAACAGTGGTTGTAATGGTGAAAGAATTACGTAGAACGAGAATCAGGAAGGGTCTCATCGGAGGTATTTTTTTAAATTTCCTGCAGCGTCACCGCGGGTACCCCCGGACTTTACCTGTGGTTTCCGATCAATCCGCCGGTTTTTTTGCTCCAATTCGGCCTTGAGAGTGTTTAAAATTGAATTTCGAGCAAATGAAGAAATTTTTACTTCTTTTGGCAGTCGAAAGTGGCTCCGGCACGGCGGCAGGTGGCGGCAGCTCTCCTTCCCGTCGGCTGGGTCTTCTTCTCCGACAAGGGTGTCTGGCGAATAGGGTTAGGATTTGGTGTGAAAATGGTTATTTATATCCATTCCCTTTTAATTTGGGTCATCCATCGCGTTTGATCTGAACCGTCCAATCGCGATTAAATAGGAAGTGAATCTGGGTCATTCATCGCAATCTGATTTGGGTCGTTCGATCGCATTTAAATAGGAAGTGGATCTGAACTGTTGATCGCGTTTAAATCTAACCGTCCGATTGTGTTTGGGAAGGGAATGCATCCAGGCCGTCCGTGCGCGCGGGAGCGAATCTGGGTCATTCGATTGCGGGCATGCGGATCGCCCACGTGACCTCTCGCGTGGCACCGCGTCAGCATCCCTTACCACGCAGCGCGTTCTAGTTCGTCGAGGCTACTGACTGAGCGTCCTACGTGGTACATTTCTAAATTGCGTTTTGACCCCCAGTTTTCGATTTTTCTTTCAAAAATACCCTCGAAACCTAAATTTCTACCTTTTTTTCCCAAAAATATTTTTAATTTCATCTTTCACCTATTTTCCTTCATTTTTCCATTAAATTAAAATTAAAAAATTAAAAAATTATATTTATAAATTAATTTAAATTACATTAAAATTAATTTGGATATTATAGTTACTATTAGCTACTCTGATTCTCATTACATAAAAAATAACTTTTTCATGACAACTTCATCTATCGACACCTCAACAATCTTTGGGTCCTTATTGCCATGTTCAACAGTACCTCCATGTCTTTGTATCTAATATAACTATGGACTTCACGAAGTCAAAACTGAAGGGACTATATTTTTTCATCTAGTCAACTCCAGGATCATACCATATCTCCCTCCAACTCTATCACCCCAAAATTGTACCTGAACTTATACTGATGCATAATTCCTTCACTTCCAAACACTCTTCTCTGCTAGTCATTCTCTTACCATTTACCACCGTCACACAATTTGTTGCTTACAATTCGTCTTTGAAAATGTTTGCAGCATCCACGTCTATAAATGAGAGTGAGCTTCTACTGTCAAGTAAAATGATACTCGGCCCCCATTGTTCCTATAATCTTTAAAGTTCCTCCAGTTGTCACCTCTTCTATGGCTTGCAGAGATGTTCTTGTGCCCTCCTCTCCTTCAACTTTTTCCTCCTCCTCCTCATCATCAACTTCACCAACCTCCTTTGTCTCCTCCACAGCCATCACCATTCTGGTGCAGCATTGATGGCCAAGGTAATCTTTGTCTCTACACTTGGGACACAAATTGGCCGCCTTTTTAGCCTCAATCTCTTTTTGATTGGTCTTAGGAAGGCAACTTGTGACTCTTGAAAGGGGATAAAATATTAAGGAATATCTCTTGTGAAAAGAGAAGTTTGATTGTATTTACCTACAAGGAGATTCATTTTGACCCTAACCACTCTTTGCGTAGTAATACTATTTTCCTCTTTCGGCTAATTACCATGCAAGTGGGCTACAAATATTTGATCCAGATCCCGAAGGAATTGTAAATCAAGCTATGACATAGACCAATAACAAAGTAAACATGTCAGGGAAATATGGTTTGTTTTTTATTGTAATCACTAATCTTTTTCCTTATGATGAAGGTCCAAATTCGAGAATGAATCTTTTTGAAAAAGGGGTGGATGATGTGATCCTAAATAGCCTATAATTAGTTCCAAAGATGCAATCTTGTATCAATGAGGAATGCTCAGAATAGGAAAGTAATTTCATTCTTGAACTCTTTCCTAATTGATTATTTAAAGAGATGGGCCAAGTTTGTCCAAGCCAGAAGACTTAAAGCCCAAGTAAGATTAATGGGCTTGAGGAATCAAAAAGAAATGCCAAGCTTTGGGCCCAACTCGAGGAGGCCTCAAGGACCGGTTACATTTTGTCTCGAAAGAATACTGGTTAACTCTGCAATAAGTTCCTTCAAACCTTCGAAATAATTCTTCTACGAATAGATCTCAGTCTTGATTGTCATTCTTCGCATGCAAACCTTTTAATCAAACATCACCCACTTCTCCAAGATAGAGATAAGCAATCTCATGTTGGAAAAAATTTCAATATATGAGCACACATATGTGATTTAATGTGTATCGTTTTAATTGGTGTTCTAATAAAGTTGATAATTAACTTTAAGATATTAAATTGTCATAGATTTAATGTATAGAGACCAAATTGTTATTTCTAATTTGATTATGAGACAAATTAGAAATAATGAAAGCATGTGCCTTTTCATATGTCTTTTTAAAGAATTATGGTTCTCAAAAACTGTCAAGAGATTTTTTTCTTTTTTCAACAGAAAAACTTATAAACTCTAAGATTATTTTAAATTGTAATAATCAAACCCTAATCATCAAGAACAATCATTTCCACAATGGATCAAGGTATGTTTTCACTATTTTTTTTTTTTTTTTTTGTTCTCATTTAATTGAATGTAGGGTGAGTTTCTATTCTAAAGATTTATTTAATTCAACATTTCAATCATCTATTAGTTAGGAACTCCATGAAATACACCTTCTAATCTATCCCAAAGGATTTACTTCTTCAAAAATAAGAATTCTAATCCTAAGCAATAAACTGTTATAGAAGTTCCTTGCTCTTCCATCATCACCACTCCTCAAGCCTCTCGCACTTTTGGCATAGGCAGAAGTCCTTTATCAGAAGGAATAGTAGATGGTCAGGGACTTACCGATGCATTAAAGTCGGACAGTCATGTTTTACCCCATAGAAGCTCCACGATCTGGTCAAATTGTTGGTGCATCTGTCTTTGCAACTCATACATTTCTAATATGAAATCAGACAGCCTCCAATCAACCTCTTTTACAGATTCATCAATCTGTTGAATGCGTTGATCCACAGCTATGGTTTTTCCCTTGTTTCTGGTCATTGTTACCACAGCAGCTTGTGTTTCCATGGAGTCTCTGCTCTGTCCCAATTTGTCTAGAGCTTTGGACATTGCCTCCAACAAGTTTGTAGCAAAAGTTATAAAGGAGAGATAAAGATAGAGATGAGGATTCGAGAGAGAATTAGATTGATTTATCAATGAGTACAGTCTTACATGCCTAGGTTCTGTCAACATCAAACTTTTTATACATTTCTGTTAACAGAACAACAACTCCAACTTACTTTGGCTCCCGCTTGACAACAGTCAACTATAATTAATCACACTCCTATTTCTCTATAGAGCTTAATGCTCTGGTAAACCTTCAAAGGTTTCTTGTGCTAATAGATAGGAATGGCTCAAACAGACTCTTTATAATCTTCAAAAAAATGGAGGCTTCTGATAATATTTATAGAAGAATTGAAAGCTAACCAGAATAAAACATTCCTTAGATCATAAAACTAGTGAAGCAAAACGAAATCATCCAAAAATTTTTCTGTAATGTAGTCATCATGGATGAGAACTACTTCAATAGCAATAAGAAGTAAAACAAGATCATTGAAAGAAGGATTGTCAATATCATTACTATAAGCAGAAATAACTTCAACAAGAGCCAAAACCTATTGAGCTGCCACTAGTAATTCAGAAGGAACTTTAAACTTTGACTCTTCTAGTTTATGAGAAAACTTAGTTGAACATTTTACCTCATTTTTATGTTCTTATAGAGTATCCCATAGTTCTTTATTTCTTGCAAATAGGTCGAATACACCTCAAACTCGTCCAACAACGAATACTATAAATGCAACAACTATATAAATAATTTTAGCATGCATAGCCTCTTCAAAACATTAAATAAGTACAAGCTTGATTTTGTGGAAACGTATCTATGGAAGAATTAGAAGAATGGATATAATTTTATGACACAATACACCACTATTTATGCACAATCTTACTCGCAGAGAAGGAAACCCTAGGAAAATAAGTAGGCTGATTAAATAAGCCTATTATAGGAAAAAACTATCTTTACAAATAGGAAACAAATAATACAATTAGTACAATTAACTACAGTTTCCAACAATATTAATACTCCCTATGCATCCACAAGGATCAAAAACTTAGTACAACACATTATGACTAAACAGCTAGATTACGTGATAAATTACAAACCATAAGTTTGTATGGTTCCACACCAAGTTGTTACCTTCAATTTTATTTTTTCTAAAGCCAGTTATCAAATTCAATATCATCAAAGTAAAATAAAAAACATGTAGAACAAACTGAGAAATCTTAGAAACGAGTCTATATGGAAGGAAAATCAGTTTGTACAAGTTTGAACCAAACTGGTTAGACCAAACCCGGTTGAATAAGGGGTGAATCAACCAAGAAACAGTAGCAAAAAAGTTAAAGCCCACTCGTTTTCATGGGCACTTGATTACCATTCATGGTTCTCTGGTAATCGTTCAGCATCGACCTTCAGGGATTCCAGGTTGGCGGCTAGTGCTACTCATTTCAGCCAGGAAAACAAAGATCTAGGGCTACACAGTTTGGGAGACTAAAAGCAAGTGACATGGTTTCTGGTGGTCTAAGTCAACAGTTCCTGGGGCTAGTCAGTGCTGTCTGAACATAATGGTTGTGGTGTTGCTAACTACTCTTGGTGTATGGTGATAAATCGAAAGATTTCATGGTTGTTTGGCTGTTCGGTTTTTCTTTATTCTTTTTGTTAGGATTTCTTTTAGCTAGATGCGATGGAAGAATCTACAGTTCTTTTATGTAGTGTAAGAATGGTAGAAAGTAGAGATAGAAGTTGAATTCTAAAACCAACTAATGCTGAATAAGTGATAATTAAACTAACTTGTCTGTCGACTAGTTTAGAAATAGAGGAAACTTAGGTTAGAAACCCAAATTAAATAGAGGCCAAATGAAATCAAAGATCAACGTCCATAAATATAGGGAGAAATAGACTGAAAGGATATAGGTTTGAAAAACAAAAATCAAATAAACGAAATGAGAAAAAACAAAGAATAAAATCCTAAGAACATGTTTTTAATTCATCATCATTTATTCTTTCTTTCCCTTTTAGTTACTAGCCATTATATAGACAGTGATTGCAACTAATAAAGAAAATCAAAAAAAGAAAATCGAAAAGAATCTAATTCCTATAGTACTTAATATCTATATAAATAGAAACTAAAATAATACTAAATAATCTAACAATCTAATAACTTCTCTAATTGAAAAATTTGTCAATCTCTTTTCTCCCAACCATCTTATGCACCACAAATTCAAGACAATCTTTCAGGCCCAATAATAAAATAAAATAGATTAGTGGTGTCTGAGAATTGATGAAGTTTTAATGTAACAAATGCAATCATAAATAATGCAATAAATGCAATCTCTCTAGGTACTTCAGTAATTGATACAGTGTTCAGTAAACTAATAATTGAACCCCTCATTACGGAGAAGAGAAAAAGAAAATCAAAACTAAAGCAGAAATTTAGAATTACCGTCTTGAGACATAAGAGGATAATCCGAGGCACTGAGATTAATAAACCAATCCCAGTCCTCGGCTTGCTTCAACAGGATGGCGATCGCGTGAAGTGTGCTGGCAACTGTTGTTGGACCCTTATAGGTGATCAAATCCGCCTTACCAATCACCATCACATTTCCAAATCCACCAATCGCGTTCTCCAGTTTTGCATACTTCGCAAGCTCGAGTCTCTCCGCATCAGGCGCTTCTAGATCGAGATGCAGCACATAGTAATTCCTCGGATGATAAACCGCTTGAAGAAGCCGTTTTACACGTGTCCCTTCTCCCCTCGTGCCGGATATCAGATAAGCGAATTTCGGCAGCCGAGGGAGCTCCGACGGCTCGGCGAGACTCTGGTATGAATCAGCGATTTTCGGTCTGTTAAAAGAAAATCCGGTTGTTGAAGAAGGTTTACTGAGACTCAAAATAACTGTGAGAAGAAGCAAGAGAGAGAAAATGGCGATGGTCAAAACTGGCATCAGCCATAACCGATTGACAGAATACGATTGATGAGCTCGTTTCATTTGAAATTCTTTACTGGTGAAGATATTCAGGACAGAGAAGAGAAATTTTAGGGTTTAGCTTTAAACTGGTGGAGAGGTAGATAGTTTGGTTTCGGTGAAAGGTTTTTGTCGGCTCGAAGTTTACTGTTGAAGTTTGTTCGTTGGAGAGGGAAGTATAATTTGAAATGCAAGTTGTGATCCAATGCGACGCGGCCAAGTTTGTACGGTGGTACTGATCCTGGTCTTTCTTGTACCGGGTGAGGCTAATCGGGTAATCCACGACCGTCGATGGGCTCGTACTTGGTGATCTAACGGTTAATTTGTATCTGAACTTATGTCTCGAGGTGATGGCCCCACCTTGATTCTCCCATATCCACAAAAGTAATTGTCAATATATTTTTGAATTTAAATGTGTCTTATACGAACTTAAATTATGAAATTTAATTATTAATTTGCATTTAAAGTTAGAATTATATTATTAAAAAGTAAATATAAAGTGATATTCAATAAAAAAAAAGTTTTAATATAAGAAAATTTTGTTTTAAAAAAATTTACCATGAAGAGATTGTTAATATTTATTTTGTTTAAAATTTAATCTTAAAAATATTTTTGTTGCAATTAAATCATAAAAGTTTCGATTTTTATTTTGTCTACAAGGCGAAGAGGAAATAAAAAAAAAATTGACACAAATAAATAAAAGAACTCTACATCTCAATGAACCAACCTCAAAAAATATTTAAAAAATTAAAATATAATAATCGCTTCAACTCATATGAGGTACTCGAAAATTAAGGTAAACTAATATGAGCATTATGAGTCTATATTATCAGTTGATATAGGTAGATATTATTTTATAATAAATGTGAGTTACCTAAATATCTTAATTACTGTTAATAATATAATAAATCTGAACGATAAAACTATATTAAAACTAGTATAGATAAATACTATGGAGGAGTTTAATGAGATAAATGATCAACTTCA